TTGCTCAAGAGTTCTCATTTCATATTCATTTAAATAACAATCACATTTGTCTCATATATTTCTACTAACATTCTCTAGAAGAGATACAAGTCACTGATGTTGACATGAAAGGGAGTTTTGGGCTGTAAAATGAGTGTGAATAGCATAGTTTAGATAATTTAGTCTTAGTCTTTAGTCCTTCATATTGAGGTATCTGACTTTGATTGCAGACTTCATCATGGCAAATCCGAACATAGGCTGTTGAGATGTCTTCTGAAACTCTGACACATTGTGAGATTTCTGGAGCCTTTTTCTAAAGAGAAATATCTAAGAGGCAGGATGCTTAAGCAAAAGTCTTAAAAGTCTCTCTGTTTTATCAAATTAGACATTTTTTCTTTCTTGTATGGTATGTTCCACATTTCCTAAAGCAAATGATGAAGTGAAGAACATGATTATGAATTCTCAGATTTAGCAGTGTTTTTGTTTGTGTTTTGATTGATTGTTTGAGCACTGACTGACAGCTTCAACACCAGTGAAATGTCACCAGACGCAATCAGACTCACAGTGACTGTCATAAAATCTCTCTTTCCCAGACTCACAGACATTCACACATTTGACTGGGGGATACCCGCTGAAAACAGCTTGCTCCATAATTTAGCATGGCTACAGTAACGCCAGTGTTTTTAATTAGCAACATTGGAAAGAGATGTTTGCAGAAGAGAAGGAAAACAAATGAAATGTGCTTTGCTACTTTCTAGCGCTAGTTTTTTCCCCCCGTAAGTTTTCATGAGCGAATGGTTTAGACAGATTCTCTCCCTCTCTGCAAATCCATCTTGCATGCAATTATTCCGTCAATAATTCTACCCCTTTTGACTGATCCATTTCTCATGCTGTGAATGCTCAGTAAATTGTCATATTGTTCATAAACATAATTTTCTCTTTATATCAGCGGAGACAGTCTGTAGCTCTGTAGGAAATCTAACAATGTGTTTTTATCACTGTGAATGGGTCCTCAGCACAGTAATATATAAAAAAACAGTAATATTGTTAAATAGTTTTACAATTAAAAATACATTTTTGTATTTTTATAGATTTTAAAATGTTATTTATTCCTGTGATTGCACAGCTGAATTTTCTGCAATTGTTACAATGCTTGCCTTCAGTGTAAAATGATCATTAAAATAATAATAATAATAATTTTATGGTAATGTATATGTAAAATATCATAGGCAGTATGGGATACGTTATTACAGACAATGAACAGAGATATTAGGTATTTTAGTAGACATGATTTTCATAAACTTTTTTTTTTTCTGAAAAGAAAGAGAGAAAATTTAAAATATGTGTGCAATATGCTAGCCAATTTATCAGAGCTAGCGTGTAGTTGATCACAAAGTTAAAAGACATGGATTAAAAGCCACAAAACTTATTTAAAAATGGCATCTTCAATGAAGCAGAGGCTGAGATTTTTTTTAATGTGTGCAGGTGAAGCTGAGAACAGTGGAAATAATGTAGGAAAATATGACAGCGAAATTAATGTTGATAAATGAAGGGAAAATCTATAGATAATGAGAGTGTATAAATTGCACAAATCCAGCATGAGTCATGAAACTTCACCTTACATATGTACTTGTTTGTTGCTTTTATGACATGGACATCATTAGATTTCAACTCTTCCGTTCAATCTCGCTCTCCTACCCAATCTGAGTCACCACTCCAAACCACCGAAGTCTCTCTCTCTTTCTCTGACTCATCTCTCTCTTTCACCTCCTGTCTCACTGATACTCTAGGTTTCACCTCTGCTCCTCCACCCTGTCTTTTAAGGGTCTGAGTCACCAGTCTTTCTATTCATCATCTCCTAACTCCATCTTTCTCCTCTTCCTCCATCGATCATGTATCTTTCTTTTCAGCCTTGTTTCACAATGGAAACATCAATCTAATGATCTATTCACCACCAAACATCTCTCAGTGGTTGTTTTGAACCTCGTAAAGCCTTGGCTGTAGCTGTAAAGGAATAGATCATCCAAAAATGAAAGTTCGGTCAACATTTACCCTCATGTTGTTCCAAACCTGTATGACTTTCTTCTTTAGTACACAAAAAAGTTTAGCAGTATATTTTTTTGTGTGTTTTCTATACAATAAATTCATTTGCCTAACATTCTTTTACAGTAGTTATGGAAGAATGACAGTCATCATCAATGACAATCAACAGGTTTGGAACAATATGATGATGAGAAAATAATGACTAAATGTTAATTTTTGGGTGAACTATCCCTATAAGCAGAAATAAGCAGCTCAATCATCTACATGTATATGGTCATATGGATTTTATTGACAGTACTATATGAATTGTGTTTCTTTATTTGATTGCTGTTAGCTTGTCAAACTGGCATTTTAACCCTGTATACCCTGAAATGATCAGAATATTTTTTTTAATGGAACCATTTATTAAAATAAAAAAGGCATTATTTGATACATCAGGCTTAAATGGCTCATATAGTGTGATATAAGAGAATATGGACCTCACATCCAAAGAGGGGGGAAAAAACACCCTATAGTTTTATTGAAAGGCCCAAACTGAGCAAAATAAGTAATTTGGTGCAGTTGCTGTTTATATGGCGTATTAAAAGTAAGATTAAATTCTGATAGCTTGTAATGTAAATCAATGAAATCTTTATAACATTATGGCAGACTACTTATATAAAATGCTATACGTATACATAATGAAATACCAAAAGGCCTTTTACTTGCTAAAAAGTATCAGTACGATAACAGATGGCATGTATAGTGGATTGTTTTTCAGAAAAGATCATGTTGATGATTTAGAGGCCTTAGAAATGTGTGTATAGAATATGATACAGTAGGGTTAAAGCCTTAACATATATTTTAAATTGTGTACATTAGAAGTAGGTAAGCTAACAGTAAGCTGATAAAAATGATGGACGTCATAAAAAGCTAACAGACAGATACATTGACATTAATGTTAATACATTGCATTAAATGCAATGTTTTCATTAAAAATACAACCAAATCATTGGAAATCTAAATCTGGGAAAAAAATCTGTAAAGGGGGTTTACAGAGGCTGTGTAGCTGTGTTGAGCCTGTGGTTTATCTGCAAGTGGATGTTCATCTTATTAGCAAGCCATTTGTGCAGTCGATATATAAAGCACAAGGTTTAATCTGGACAAGTGTGTGCACTGGTCTGTGTGTGTTCAGTGGTGATTTCCATCCCAGACACTACTGAACATCTTGATTCCTGAACATGTGGGTTGAATGCCCATGTTTGTCAACACAATTTAACTTAGCTCAGTTAAGATCCAATCAAGTATGCAGAACAATTATACCTATTACCGATCCCCCTTAAAACACACACACTCATTCACACACTTGCTGTAACGGCAATCCTTTCCTGTGTGTCCATCATCAATAACTACTGTCATTGTAAAATCACTAGATGTTTTATTATTGATTGTAGGGGTTTATTCTTGAACATTCTGTCTTTTTCCTTCAGTGTACAGTTTGAACTTTTGATTGTGGGATCTGGTGAGCATCAGCCGGGACAGACAGACAAATAAAAGTGCAGGTTTGACCGTTTGATTGCTCTGTTGTGTTTAATGGTCTGGGGAACTTGTTGTTTAAAGCTGCTGTATAACATACATAAAATGACCCTGCTACCTGACAGATAAAACAGAAATATATTAGATAGTGCTGCAAAATCACACCTGCCTCTGTGACAGCCCTAAAAATAAAAAATAAAAAATCTGAGCCCACGCATGATACCCCCCCCAAAAAAACCTGGAGGCGCCTCTCTGCCTGTCAATCATTTTGCATGTTCGGGTACATTGACATGTCTCTGGACAGTGGTGTTTTGGAGAGAGTTTGTACAGTTTAAAGGAAGTTAGTATTGTAAAATTTTTCTACACTGCCAGGTTTTTAGCCTGGGAGCGCTCAGAGTGAAAACAACGATCATAACACATTTTTTTAATATAACTTGGCTTGTTAACTGTTTGATGGATGCAAGACTGCAAGCTTGTTTGTTGTCACCTAGACTATAGCTGTGCATTTATATCTGTGGTTTAGGTCTAGGCCTGCAATAAGCCTTGCGGGTTATAATAGATATACACTATTTTTTAAAAGTTTGGGGTTGGTATGTTTTTAAAATATTTAAAAAAAAAGAAGTCTCTTATACTCACCAAGTCTGGATTTATTTGACGAAAAATACAGTAAAAACAGTAATATGGTAAAATATTTTTTAAATGTTAATTGTAATTTTAAATTTTAATTTTAAATGTATATTTTAGCCATTACTATAGGCTTTTATTTATATATAAAAAATATGCTGATTTGGTGCTCAAGAAGCATTTCTTATTATTTTCAATGTTGAGAACAGTTTATTATTGTGGAAACTTTCATACATTTTTATTTCAGGATTTTTTGATTAATAGAAAGTATATACAGTATATAGGTGGATATTTATATAAAACACTTCTGGTTGAGTTTGACCTTGTTTCATGTCATGAAAGCATGTTCCTCCTGTTATTACAGTATTTTACTGTCTTATGTTGTGATCAGACACAGCTGTGTGTACACACGTTTAGATAAGAGGAGAGAAAAATGTCTTGTGATCGATAGCTGTGTGTGTGTGTGTGTGTGTGGACAGTTGAGATAAATCATTAATCACATTCCTATAGGAAGATCTGTTTAAAACAGTGTGAGGAGCTGATTTTGGAGTTAATGGCACTTTATGAGTCCATTGGCTTGTGGCATAGATTTGCTCTCTCTCTCTCTCTCTCTCTCTCTCTCTCTTTCTGTTACACACACCAAACTAAGTTTGAGTTTTTTAGAGCTTTCAAACTTCATCCGTAGTCCTTCAGACAGTTTTTACTTGGGTCGCTATGCTGTCTGTCCATTTAATCCAGTTTTTAATGCTGTATGGAAAGTGTTGAAAGTACAACCTTGAAGCATTAAAGTTTAATTGTAAATGACTGTCCTCTTTTCCTTAACGCTCTGATGTCATCAGTCTGGGACGGCCAGGAGTGGACTGTCATTGCCAGCATGAGAGTGGGGCGGCAGTTCTCCAACTGCAGTTTCTCATCAACGAGGTACCGAACACCCACACTTGCAGGCACACATATATTACAGCACATTTTCATGTACACAGCATGTAGAAAGCACACGTATTGCATATGTGTGTGTTCTAATCTGTATTTTAGGATAGACAGCGTGTGTGTGTGTGTAAATGCACACTCAGATCTGCAGAGGAATACGTTTAGGTCAAGAGCCGCCTTCCCTCTCAGCCCTGTGGTGCTAATGCAGTCAGTCATCACTTCCCATCAGACGTGTCAAGTGCTGAATGTTTCTCAGCCTCTCTGTCTCGCTCTTATGCATACTCGCCGCATCATCTCATGAATAATGAGAAGTGCGTTAACAAAAGAGGGAAAGTGGGAGAGTTGCCATGGTGGCCATTTTGGAATTCAGCAATTTAGGTACGCTCTCCACTCCCTCCATCCAATTCTATATCCTTTCTATCAGCCCATATAAACACATCTGAAGTCAAAAGAAAATGGCATTTGCAAGCCATTTTACTTTTGTAATGGAACATTTTTCACAGTGAAGGAGAATATTCAAAGAGAAAACATTTAGGGCAGGTTTTTCATCCGTCGGGAATTCATCGGTTGGTGAAAAGTGGAGCCAGACCTGAATCTGAGTTTGCAGTCAGTTGTGGAGATGATGAAATTTTTGCCTCAGGAATCAGGCCAGATTTATTTGAGCTTCTTAACTGCTGAGAACTGAGATAGTGGTGTGGATGTGGAGGTTAAAGGTCAAGTTCACCCTACAGCATCCCAAAGTGTTCCTTTGCCTTTATTTATTTATTTTTACTTGCTGATTTTTAAATTAAATTAATATTAACCAACATTAAATTATTGTGTACTGTTAACTAGTGATGAGATTTCAAAAAAGTTGTATTACTGTACCTAAAATAGTAGCCTAAAATGATGAATAAATAGGTATTTGGTATTACTTTGTCTAGATGATGATGTAAGCTGAAAAGGAAAGTTGTTTCAGATGAAGATAACATTATTGCATTTTGATTAAAAATGACAAAGATGACATTTGTTTTTTCTTCGGAATATCATGCTCTGATGAATTGTTCACAATAAGACGCAGATGTTATACCAGACACTGAAAATCATTTCATTTAGTGAGACATGAGACTGTAGGAATTGATTTGACAAATATTAGGGGTGTAACGATATACCAATGCCACGGTTTGGTTCATATCACAGTTTTGGAGCCACGGTTCGGTTCGGTTCGGTTCTGTTTGCTGTGGGGGTAGGGTTCATGGCATGGCACCAGCAATGCTAAACAACACTAGATTCACTTTTAACATAATAATAATACAAACAACAACAACAATAATAATTGCTCTCTGTTAAAGTTTATTAATGCATTAACAAATGAGACTTTAAAAATTGTTGCTTTGTAAAGTGTTACCCAAAAATCTATTGCCTTAAACATTTTTAATAAAATAAAATAATGCCTAAATAATGCAAACAAGTCATTGGACAACATTTCTTAGGCTACATATACAAATACATACATGTGCAATGGATAAATAAAATGGAACAGCCGGACAACAAGGCAATGATTTTAATCAAATAGTCATGAGCTTTGAGAGGGCGGCTTTGCACGCTTTGGCTGTGAGCGCATTGAAGACAGTCTCTCAGAGAGTGCACGACTACTTTATGGGTTAAAATGTTTAAATTGGCATGACTTAAAATGACGTGCAAGTGACAATTCCGTCAACTGTCTGTAACACGCGCTTGTCTTGTATTGCAACTCACTTTCAGAGCAAACTCAAAGTGGATATTATGGATGTGAGGCTATATTTGTGAGAGAGACGTGGTACCACTCAATCCCAATCACTCACTGTTTGTGAAATTATAGTGCATAAATGTTTGCGGGAATTTCCCGCTTTATAATCACGAAACCTGCGGGAATGTGTAGAATTACGCATAATGCCTGCAGTGAAATTCAGACCCTGATTAGGCTATATTGCACAAAATCAAGCACAAGTGAACTTGTGTCCTTCTGTGGATGCGCTTTTTGTAACAACACGCTGAAAACCCTAAGAATTCACAACATTTTTAAAATTTGTGCTCTCAGTATAACGTTATGTATATGACAGTCCTAGTCCTAGTTATTAACCTCCTGAGACCCTGTGACCTCATATGAGGACATTATATTTTGGTGTCTGAAGATGAATCACTTTGATAGGGGTTTTTTAATCAACGGGATTTAACTCATCAGATTTATATCATATAGGATACACTTCGTTATTTATAATACATAACCTTAATATTACAACTTATATCTGCACAAAATGACCCGAATGCACAAGTTAACCTGTCTGTGCTGTTCCAAATATGGAACTCCTGTTGTGGATGCGTACTTCACGCAACAATGCGTAGAAACACGGCAACTAAACAAAAAAATTTCACAGAGTTTTATTAAAATAGTGTTCTCATTATAATGTTATGTATATGACAGTCCCAGTCATAGTTATTAATATTCTGCATTGTTGTTTGTACTGCTCGCGCTGGACATTGTTTATATATATATATATATAAACAAAATATTGCAACTTACAGTTCCACAAAAGGCTGTGAGTGGCTGCACAAGCGAACTTGACTGTGCTAGTCATGAAGATGTAACAACACGCTGAAACATGGCATATTCTTTTACAGTCGTGTTCTCATTATAATTTTATGTAGCATATATGACAGATTTGTTCTGCACACGTTTCTGCACATTTTAATATTTTTGCACCCTTAACAAATATTGTGCACACACATTCTTGACATTTTATCCAGCGGTGCATTATTCAGACATTACACTTCAGGGATTCAGTTTTCATTCATACTGATTTTATTACCAGCACTGAATTATTGCTGTAAATAACATTCATTACAAGGGATGGTACCTCACTAACCAGATGGTTACATTTATACAATATATCCCACACCTTATAGTGGATTACAACACAAATTTCATTAGTGTTTTACTGTAATTTCATTTTCACAACCTTCCTTCATCTTAAAGTGAACATGAAATCAAAATAAACCCTATTTTTTAAATGCAAGTCCCTGGTCTAATTGTGAATGTGATCCATCATTGTGTGTTAATTCAAAGAAAAATATGTTTGTCTTGTAACTTTATCTTCTTCTGAAACAAATTTCCTTTCCTGCTGACATCTCTTAGGCCATGCAGACTACTGGACAATAACCAATAGCCAAAATGGCTGTTTTAGCAAACTGTGTTATTTTAGTATTGTTTATACTGTATGCTATTTATTCATATTTATTATAAGTTTTAGTCAGTTTGTTATGTACTTTAGTCTTTTTTATTCATTTTTTTGCAATTTATATTTAGCTTTATTTTATTTCAGTTATAGTTTTAGAAATGTTAGTATTTCCTCTTACATTTGTTTTATTTAATCTTATATTTATATTTTATTTTAATTGATTTCATTTTGATGTGCAGCATTCACTTTTTATCATTAACCAAATACTGAAGTAAACAATCTAGTCAGACTCTACTTGTATTTTCTTGTTGAATATCCCATTTCACTTGGAAAATATCATATTACAGAATTAAAATGGGTCATGAATGGGTATTCACATTGACTTCGACACCGCACAACTAAAATTCCCACTTGACATCTGTTTTTCTCTGCCGATGTCCTTTGGTGTGCTGGTGCAATCTGTGTTTACCTAAACACCATCTCCATGGAAACACATTTGTCAGTCACCTGACTGATGGATCTGGATTCAATGCACTGAGAGAGACAGACAAGGGAACAAAGATGGAGACAAAACCACAAGTCGTGCCACAAGACTTCTTGCTGGCCCACGGTCGCCTTCAAATTAAGCAGTGATTTGACAAAACAAGTTCAGATTAATACTAACATGTTTTCATCCACAACATGAAATGTCACTCATTTTTTTCCAGGTTTGTGCTGTATTATTTGCTTTCTGAACATTGCGGCCACCATTTGAAAAGAAAATTAGATACGGGCTTCAAAATTATATAGGGCTTCCTGATAAAATGGGTCAGAAAGACCTTTGTCATCCTGATGGTGTCAGGCATAAAATAGATTTTTCACACTCACAGTTTTAGACACTTGCATCACTTTTTGCTCTCTCTCCCCTTGTTCTGTCCTCCATTAACCTCAAACACCATCCTGACTCCTGTAATACAGTATATAGTGGTTAAACGGATCGTAGTTGATCCTTGATCCGTACGGACCAAGCCCCACGGTTCGGCACGCATGTGATCCGCGGATTAATTGCAAAAATTAACCATAATAGAGTATAAGTTTATCATTTGTTTGTATTTACACAAGCAAGCGAATTTTAAACTTGCTGATCCGAAAAATGATCCGTGGGTCAAAAACCATAATGTGATCCGAACCGTGAGATTTGTGATCCCTTGAACCACTAGTAACACATAGAGCACAGTGTTACTTTTGGCAGTTCTCTGTCTTCAGACTGTTTCAGTCTCTATCCAAGGAGGACTGTAATATCATGAAATATGCATGAAATGCATGGGAATACAGCAGAGTTATACAGATTGAAACATATTGATGTGACAGAATAAATTAAGATTTATCATTTCCTAGCAACTATAAAAGTAAATTCATATTTCATTTGTGGCCTGGAAGATGCATTGTATACTGCATAATTTTCCCCATCATAAAAAGTGAATTTTAGGACATGGAAAGTGGAAAGGGATACACGTAATAAATTTTACACATAAGCAATTCAATTCCAGTTGTGTTATAATGTACATAGTACATAAAATGCATGATTTTAGGTCACGAATAGAAAACTGACATATGTTTAATATAGTTTTCGCATATGAAGAAGCACAGTGGCTTATGCTACAAGCTGTGCTGTTGACGACTGAACTAAAAAAACACCAGTCTAAGTGTCACAAATTGATGTAACTGTCTTTGTTAGTGAATGTCGATATTGGTGTGAACTAGCGATCTCACTGCATGGATTGAGTGTTGTTGTTATACATGTGTCCATAGGGGGCGCTGGTCACAGCTTGTGCAGATGACACGTTGCATCTCTGGAACTTGCGACAGCGACGTCCGGCTATCCTACACTCTCTCAAGTTCAACAGAGAGCGGTGAGTATAGCTTATATTAAGTACACAACTGTGTACGCTATTTTTCAGGAATGCACAGGCATGTGCACAGAGCACACATAATATGTCAAGTCAAAAATGAACTTTCCAAGGATTTCATAAAAATGAATATGTGATAAAGTAAACACAGACAGCTCAAGGCTGCAGAGTGAAGCCAAGACTCAATATTTTAAAATGTTGTAGCCCCTGTATTCTCTCTTCTGGTTTGTTTCTGATCAAGTAGTGAGGATTTTCTTCTCATAAAATGCAATGGGCACAGTACAGTATTTATTAAATAAAAAGATACATCCATCATAAAAAATATAATATTATCCTTACTATGTTACCCTACATTAATCATTAGCATTTTTGTTGTGCATGTATAATATACATTTATACATAATATACTGTATTTTAATTTATAATATTTGAAAATTAATGTATAATTATTTATATAATTCTTTTATATATAAAATATGTATTTTTTAATGCTTATTCTTATCAGTATGTGGGTGTTAGGGTCTTTTTTATTTATGTTTGTTAAATATAAGTATGTATGTTATAATATGTAATATATAAAATATTATTTTATGTATAGAATAAGCACTTTATGTTAAAAGGTTTCCGTAAGTGTTTGTTGGAGCAGCCTTAAAGGTACCAACCTATTTTAGTAGTAAATATGTCAACACTGAAATAGAAAATTTAATTTGTTAAACATTTAATGGAATCTTTAACCACTGACCATAACTTAGTATTTTAAGCCCTCATTTAATTTTCTTATGCCAACTCTTCCCCAGCTTCTCAAACGGTGCATTATTCACGCAATGGAAACTGACCCACTAGGTATGACTAATGTGGCTTTTGTAACTCTGTTTCCCTTGTTGAATGAGTCAGGGTCGGCTCTAATAAATGTCGCTCGGATTCAGAGCTGTGAATTGTGACAGTTGCGTTATGGGTAATGGCCTCTTGGTGTTGTATAGAAGTGTAGAAAACTTTCAGGAAGTTTTAACAGAGATACTGATGTGTTCTGTACAGACAGAGAGACCTTGAGTGAGTTGAAGAAAAAGCCAAGAACAGCCTTTCTTTATTTTTTTGGTTGATTCCTTTACTACCTAATCACTTGATGGGTAAAAGGACCTTATCCAAATGTGGCTTCTTATCACTGCATTATTTGCCGTGGAAAAGGAAAGAAAGAATAATAGAAGAAAATGTTTTTTTTGTGAGTGTGTGATATTTGAGAGAGCGTGACCTGACTTACCCTTAAGTGAAATGCATTTGATAGCAGATACTGTAGATGATGAATACTCGGGATGAATCTTTAGCATTCTAGCAGCATGATCATTTTAGTCTGATTTTAACAGTTTGTATGTCACATTTTAGCTTTAACTAAAGCTTTAACTTTAACTTTAGCTTTTAGCAATGTAAGTTGTTTTGTGAGCATAACAATGCAATGAGGAATCCTTGAGGCAAAACAGCTAAATGACAAAATGCTCCATGACATTTTGCAGCTCAAATTAGTACAGAAGATGCCAAACTAAGATTCAATATGTTGTCTGTGCACATTTGTGTAAAGTTGTGCACTCCTATATGCATTAGCATCTTTATAACATCCAGTGAATTATTTTTTTAGACTAATGGAGATTTTTTTCCTCATGGAGAAATCAAATGTTTAGATTTGAATGCATTTGGTTATTTAGTGGATCGCAAAGTGAAAGAGAGAAGCTAAAAATTATGCTCACATACAACCAAACGATCCATTAGTAATCAGATTGAGGGCTCAATCAGACTGAAAAGCCTTCATGTAAACACCTCAGCCGATCCGATTAAGTTTGATTCAAATTAAATTTCGATCAGATTGAAATCTTACGAATCGATTGAAATCTTACCAACCCCAAGATTTCAAATGGTAGTGTATATGACCAATTTTTTTTTTTCACACTGTGAAGTTTTTATGATCGATTATAATACTCAGAAACCACATCAGCCACATGGGACACAAACATTAGATCGGCATCAAACTGAGAAGCCTGATTAATGAGAGTCTAAAAGCATATTGTGTAACAGAACTTAAAATATAACATTATTCAAACTTTGGTTCACACTCATCTAAAGCATGAAAGCTTAGGAATAGCAGTATGAGGTGGTATGCGATAGAGATTTTTATATGCTCTGTGTTTTCTGGGTACGGCTAATAAGCTTTGTTCCCCTCCGTAATAACTGATGATTGTGTTCATCACCTCATCAGACCGTCTGGAACAAACAAATAAAGTCATGGTTTCTCCTACCGTGACAGTTTCACACACACATTGACAGGGATTTCTTCTATCTTATGTGTGTGCTTTGACCCTGAAGTATTTTATATTTGGCTTTATTAAAATGATGCAAATTCACGTGTAATGAGAAATGTTTTCTCAGATCAGTAGGTGCCTGTCTGAGTGTGTGTGTGAACACGGTTGGGTGCATACTTTCGTGCGCGGCTGTGTCAGATGACAGAGATTTTCAGCTCAGCAGGGGCAGGCGAGAGACTCAAAATGCTGATTTGCTGCTCAAGAAACATTTTTATTATTATCAGTGTTGAAAACTTTTGTTGGGCTGCTTATTATTTTTGTGGAAACTGTACTTTCAGGATTATTTTATTTTTAGAAAGCTAAAAAGAAGAGCATTTTAAAAAGAGCATTCTAAAATAATAGAAATCTCTTTTGAAAAACACTTTTGATCTGTTGAATGCATGCTTCCTGAATAAAAGTTTTCTTTTTCAAAAAACAAAACAAAAAAAACATTTACATTACATTTAATCATTTAGCAGGCGCTTTTATCCAAAGCGACTTACAAATGAGGAGAACAATAAAAGCAATCAGACGAACGAGAGAGCAACAGTATACAAGTGCTGTGACAAGTCTCAGTTAGTCTAGCACAGAACACATGGCTAGGTTTTTTTTTTTTATAGAATATAACAGAATAGAATAGAATAGGTAGTGCTAGAATTAGTTCGTCTGGTGCGCACTCAGCATGCTTGTCTGTCGCAAAAATACAAGAACCTTTCATCGCACAACAGAATTGTGTAGTCCTATGATGTTCTGTTTTAGCTGATCAATTCACATTTGTATCCAAGGCATGTTTGGCCCAAAATATACAGAACGAAAATATGTGCAAGCTTGGTGTCATTCAGGGGTGCTTTTTGAAATATGTCTTAAATATTGACAAAATTTACTTTTAGCAGATATATAGAACTGTTCAAAAAAGATTTAAAAAAAAAAATGTTTTTGAAAGACATCTCTTATGCTAATTTAACAAGGCTGTATTTATTTGATATTTCATAGCATTTTTAAATATTATTACAATTTCATTTTATATATATATATATATATATATATATTTAGCAGGCGCTTTTATCCAAAGCGACTTACAAATGAGGAGAACAATAAAAGCAATCAGACGAACGAGAGAGCAACAGTATACAAGTGCTGTGACAAGTCTCAGTTAGTCTAGCACAGAACACATGGCTAGGTTTTTTTTTTTTATAGAATATAACAGAATAGAATAGAATAGGTAGTGCTAGAATTAGTTCGTCTGGTGCTGGCGAAAAAGATGTGTCTTTAGACGTTTTTTAAAAATGGCCAAAGACTCAGCTGTTCGAATTGAGAATAAAAAGAAAAGAAAAGAAAATTAAAAGAAATAAAAACTTTCTGACCTCAAAATTTTAAATGGTAGTTACATACTTAAAATCTTCACTTTCTCTTTTTCTAGCAAACAGATCTGAAAAACAGAAAAATATTGATCCTGCACTACACTGATTTTTGTCCAATCAGACATATTCACGTCTCTTTTGGCCTGTGTGGTTTTATTACAGGTTAAATTAGTTATCCACAGAAGCAACAAAAGAGCATTTTGGAACAGTTGCTCTCTAAATGCCATTATCAACACGATAATCATTTTCTAATCTGGGTTTTCCATGTGTTGCATTCAGAAACAAAAAACCGCACACTAGCATGGCCAGGTGCTCCATTAGCATTCTAACCCTGACAAGTTTAGTTGTCTGTCCAGCGACTCGCAACCTTCATTACCAATCACCCCGACTGTCTGAGGACCCCAGGGGCGTGAGGGGAGGAAAACAGAGAGCGATGTAATGAGTGTGGACAGCAGCGAATTACCATGTGCTGGTCTTTATTTTCTAGTTAACCTGCTTATTAGGATGATGGATGATGCCACTGGATGGATTTCAGCATGAACAGACCTCAAACAGACCCTGGATATGTGATAGTTTTATTGATCATTTTCATAATTACTCACCAGATACTTCATATTATCAAGAAGTTTTATGTGTTGCATATGTCATAATGAGCTGTGGTGCTAAAGTGGATGATACACATTTGAAATGGGCTTGCAACAGTTCCCATTCATATTTCTTCCTGCTATGCTCATTATTCACAAAAAAATAAGGATGTTTCCAAACCTTCAGTCCCTCCATTTTTTTTACAGATTATCTTGCCCCAAACTCACAGCACTGGTTGATGTTAGAGAGCCACAGTTAACCACATATAATATTTAATGAATGAAACATAATATGTCATGTTCAGCATTAAGAATAAGAAGTGCTCACCTCAGTTTTAATGCTAAGCGCTGTTTACATGTGTACAGTAGAAATATGTGGCATGTTATTAAACATATTCCCTGGAGAGTTTCTGTTGTGACAGTACTAGAGATAAATCAAAGTGCTAATAGACAGCCTAATTTCGTAATTATTTCACAATTAACGTAGTGAGCATCAGGCAAATATAATCATACTCTTTCTTTTAACCTTTTAATGACACTGCAGAGACAGCAGCATGCTATGAAAATAAACACACATAAACACACCAGCATGGGGAAATGATTTTACGTCATATGGTTTGCTGGAATAGAGAACACAGGGTTGAATGGTCTAGATTGCATCATTAGGAATAAGAAACATAGTTAAAAACACTTGTAAAAATATAAGAGTCTCCTCTCATCTCATTCATGTCTCATTAGCTCTAGTTTGTCTTGGGGTAATCATGTTCCAATTAATTGCATCCCAAAATACACACAAGTGTACCCAAGAGGGGCTGACGTTTGACTGGCATGAGCCCTAGAGCAGAGCCAAACCAGGCAACACCATGAACAAGTGTGATGTGTTACTTCCAACTGCTATGAATCACTGCCTCTGAACAGGAATGACTGCAAGAAATTAGACTGCAAGATTTGGGCTCTGATTTAAAAAAAAAGCAATGAATCAAATTTACTTCAAGATTAAATAATCATATTATTCGCAATTAATCATAATGTTTATCAATGCTTGCTGACAGAAACCACACATTCTTTTAAAAAAGATAGTTAATTATAGTAAATTGACAGCTCTTGTTTACGTTAGTTTAATTTGGTTTTGTTTTTGATGATCTAGAGAAATGTTGTCAACTCCTCAGTTGACACTTGTTGATAACAGTTGTAGGGATTTCTTAATATGAACAGACACTGATATCAGCATTCACAAAAAAAAATTAAGTAATCAAAGTCATTACACAGTTGACAATAGATGTGTTGCTTCATGTTCTGTTTTGTTAATCTGGAGAAAGGCTGAGAGTTGTTGACAATAGCTGACAATTGTTTTGTTTTGCTGATCTGTATAAATGCTGAAATTTTATTTTTCTTATTTAATGCTCTTCTTTTGAACTTTCTAAACATTGAATAATGGGGGGGGAACAATTAGCAATTTTGATGTTTGCATGGTGTTTTGTTAGGAAGAGTTACTTTACAAACCTGACAGAGACAGAGGCTCATCTCTGTCAGGTTTGTAAAGTAACTCGCATCAAAAGAAAATGTTTGGAATTACATGAATGTTTACCTGGATTATTTTGCACATGCACATTATAAGCAAGCTACACAACAGATTTAAAGGGAAGCAAACTCAGACCACCTGCAGTGATGGAATTTGTGCACAGCATTCATGTATTGAAAACACTCTATGAGACCATTGAAATGAGCATGAAAGTATGAAAACATTCTATCATGAGGCCCATGCATGCTTGTATAATAGTCGAGAGACAAAACAGAGCACCTCCCCTTCACTTTGAAGCCCACACTGCATGCAGACCATATATTTATTTCATTCAGTTGAAGCCGTTTTCCAGTTTAATAATCACACAAGGCCATATTGTGATTCAGATTTTAATTAACAGTTCAACTCTAGTTCAAAAGATGAGCACGGACATGTTGAAAAATGTTTGAGTTTAAGCAGAACTTTAAACTTACACACACATAATTTGGCTCTTGATTAGCTTTTTTCATGCTATTTAACTACATTCTGGTAATGAATATATGTACAATAATTTACATTCTTATGGGATTTTGTAATTATATCTGCAGCTTTCTGAAGAAAATGTTGACTGCTATGTAATTGGATAAAATATGATCTGCATATGAATAAAAAACGTATATTAGTTAGAATGGTCATTATTGGCTTGCCGGTTCTATATAGTGAAATATTAATTACATAATTTAATATGATGCTGACATATCCTGTGTTAATTCTTCTCTCCTTCTCTCTTTCACATATATGATTCCTCTTCTTTTCATCTCTCTTTTAGGATCACATTTTGTCATCTTCCGTTTCAAAGTAAGTGGCTTTACGTGGGGACAGAGCGTGGAAATACACACATAGTGAACATCGAATCCTTCATTTTGTCTGGATATGTCATTATGTGGAACAAGGCCATAGAACTGTGAGTATAAGTGTATATATATAATTTATTTTATTTTAATATCAAAGTCAATGCTGCTAACATGACTAATAAATAGCTAATTAATAGAATGCCAGAGCACCCACGCAATCAAATGAAACATGCATCTAATAAAGATGATGATGTGCTACTAAGTCATCTGGAATATGAAACAATTATAAATGCAGTTATAAATGTACGTTTGCAATAATTCACCTAAAATAAGAATTCTGTCATTATTTACTGTCATCATTTATATAAAAGATTTCTGGTTATTTTTTAACTTGTTAATTGAATTATGCCTTCCAGAGTTCATGCATATATTTACATTTACATTACATGTACAGTATGTATTTTGCAATGCTTATATCCAAAACAACTTACATTACATTCAAATTATTGTTGTCATGATTGAAATATATATATACACACAAATTTTTTTTAATTTTACGTTTATGCATTTAGCAATTTGTCAAAGAGCCAAAAGTATGCAAAATATGTAATGCCAGGTTTATTAGGCAACTAGATTAGGAAAAAAGGTTTTATTTTTGTTTTATTTTTTGACTAAATGAGGGTAAATAATGACAAAATTTTCTATTTTGTGAACTATTTCTTTAAAAATAACTTGTATTGGGTTCTTGAGATAGTAGTATGCCTCTTTAGAAATAAAACATTTCTTACAGTACATCAGAAGTCCTTCAGATCATTGTATAGGTTCTAAGTATCATTGCTGTGGAAAAGTGAAGTCTAGTTTCTTTGAAACACCAGTACATGTTTTCCAAAGAACCACAGAAGTGCCTCAAGATACATTTTTTCATTTCATATTTTAAGAGTCACAATGAAATCATCACCAAACTGATTGTCAGACTCTCCATAGATCTAAAGACTTTGATCCGTTGTGTGTAACTTAAACACATGTAACAAAATCCACAACAACAACAAATGCAAACCACATCCTGGCTGAAGAATAAATAAGTTATCACATTTTAACATTTCAAACCCCAGAAGATCCGTTTTATCTGTTTGTCTACAGTTACACATTTACACACACTGAAACACACAAACAACCGTTGGTTTGCACACATCTATGGCACTTTTCATGAATAAACGTGTAAGTTAACACCAACACCTCACTCCCATGACTGATAATCTGACAAAAGCAAATGTCAATCAAGTCTCCTTCTACACAAGAGGCTCTTGGTGGCATCCCGACTGACAGACATTAACATTAGTAGTAAGTAACCGTGAATGCATTTCTGAAGGACATGTAGATCCCCTGTCGCCTACTTGCAACCCACTACAAGTCCTTTACCCAAAATCCCCTCACCTCCTCAAGTAGCTCAGTGACACATTGAGTGTGTTGTAGTATATCTGTATTTTACAAATGAGAGAACTTGATCCTAGTGTTTGATTATTCTGAAGTGCTATTTAAGGTTCTTGATGGTAAAGGCACCATTTTCTGGCTTTTATTGAAGTTTTTGTATACTTCTGCACAGAAGTGGTTTAATCATGTGAATTAGTACATGTTGCTGCGGTTATATAAAGGGACTGTTCTGGGTTATTTAAGCAATGAGGTATTGTGAATATGGTGAATATGGTTAACAGGCTTTGTTAGTATGGTAAAATTACCATAATCATGTACTATTTGCATATGGTTTTTGTATTTCATATGATTGTACATGATACTCTAATGCAGAGTATGTGAGTGATGCAGAGTGGAAGGGGACTGGGGAGCAGTGTTGCATGTTTTTGCCTGGAGCAATAAGTGTTTATGTGTGTCTGTTTTTATTTTATTTTATTTTTTTAAGCGTTGGTGTTTTCTCTCGCTCCAAGATCACTCTAATATCTAATATCCCACGATACATGTGTCAGACACAGTTTTAATAGACTATTAGCAGTCAGATTGAAAAAAATTATTAAATTTAATATGCAATATTGTTAAATACGTGTTATGTACTATTGTTAAAAATGTGTTATTTATTTTTATTTTCTTACTATTTGCAGTCAGAACAAATATATATATATATATATATATATATATTAGGGATGCACCGATACCACTTTTTCCAGTACTCGCCCGATACCGATACTTTCAATCCAGTCAGCGTGCTTTGTTAATTAGCTAGCACACATCAGCTCTACAGGCGTTAATACTGAATGTTTAACATTATATTCATTGCATACATATACTTCGTAGTAGACATCCTTAACTCCTTTCTGCTGTCTGTTGTTCTGTTGTTGGTGTTTCTTTGTTTGAATATGGCGCTTATCACATGCTGTTTGGTATCGGGGCATTTTAACGAGTATGAGTACAGGAGCTCAGTATCGGGCCCGATATCGATACCAGTATCGGTATCGGTGCATCCCTAATATATATATATATATATATATATATAGGGTACAACGGGGCTAAAGGCGCCCCGGGGTAAAAGGTGCCTTTGATATTATTTTCATCTAAACCACTAGGCACAAAAACCATAGCGTAGCACTTTTCAAAACATTCGCTTTTCAAGATGCACGTGTATATTTGCCTGATCCTTGACGCAATCAGCACAAAGTTGATTCTTTGCTTAATTGATCTAATATTTTATGTTTTTTTTAATGTAGATTTAAGTAGCAAATGAGAATCGCTAAAATTAATGCATATATTTTGAGACAAAGGTCTTCTTTATGATTTTCAGTTCCCTTTCAGTCAGTCACATTCGACGTTACGTCAGTGACTGACGAATTGGGATCTCGCCTGAGAGCCCAATCACCTTCGAGTGTTCACAGAACAAGCCGATGAATGTTGGTGTGCGAGCTTTGCATCGTGCACCCCACCCCGCAGCGCGGGTATATAAGGAGAGTGCGTGCAGTCGCACATTCAGCTTTTCGCTTCGTAGCCGAGCGTTTCTCACGATTCTGCTCTGCAATCATCGTTCGAGTGTGTAAGCAACGAACCAGGTGAAAGCTCTCTAGAGAGCGTTGGTGTGACGGCGCGTCAGTGGTGGTCGCTACTGAAAGAGCTTTTCTCTGCATTGTGAGAGACCTCAGATGCTTCTGACTCCAAAGGAGGAGATGGCGGGCGAGTTGCGACATACGACGGGAGCGTAGACCGCCTTGATGTACGCAACGGTCGCAATGTGTTCCGTCCGGACCAGTACGTGCTTGTCGCTAGCAGCGATCTGAAGTGGCACAGAACAAGCCATACTGCTAGCAACTCGAGGCAGTTGATATGCCACTGTAGTCGGGGCTCCTTGTTTACAGAATACTTTGAGCTGGGAAATTGTTGCTGCTCTACTGCACTCACATACTCTTCATAGAATACTGTGATGCTACTATGGTACATGATCAAAAAACATGGTATTACTATGGTACATTTTGATATTTGGTACTTTACTCAGTGAATTTTTATTATTTTATTTCTTAATATATCTCAGCACATAAAAAGAATTACAATATTTCTTATATCATATAACACATCATAATTATTGTGAAATGCATGTCGATTGCCCTCCTGTTAATACTTGGCACTTTCTGCCATTGCTTTCATGGCAATGTTTATGTGTTCTATAAATCTGTCAGTTTTTAAAAAAGAAAGCAGCATTTTTTTCAGCAGTGTTTGAGAATAGGTGAAGATGAATGCATGCACACACTTGTGGTATTGAGAGAATTCCCCTTTACAGAGGCAAAGTGCAGCTCATTTCAATAAATAAATATGAATAAATATAAACATGGCCCCTGTACGCTGGCAGCAGGCATCCTCTGATGGAAATCAAGTACAAGGATGGAAGAGAAGCCAGAGATTTGTTTTTCTTTCTCTTGACTCACACATGAATAAGTGAGGGAGATGAAAACCAGAGAGGGATTCAACAGGGTGTGAGGGTTTAACTGAGATCCTGTAACCTTACAACCTTCAACAATTCCACGCTGTACTACACTGAAATCAGCTGCCTTCAGCCTGCAGTACTCGCTCCATCAGATCCGTTTTTTTTTTTTCACCAAAACCTTTCAAAGTCATATGGAGAAAGATATCTAACAAGTCCTTTACTTTTGTGGGACAACCTTCAAATGTGCAACTTCTTAGCCATAAGGAACATCACTGCATGTGGCATGCGCTTGTCTCGATTCTGCACACAGTTTATCTTAAACCTCTGTGCCTGTTCTCAAGATATCTGAAGGGCTTGCTGAGCACGCTGGGAACCCTGATCCTAAACATAATCAGTACTCCACGGATCTGCCTTGCAGCAGTACGTCACGCCTACATTTCCAAGTAATCTGTTTTAGACTTTCAACATCTTTGGAAATGCTATGGAAGAATTTCATGTTCTAGGTCATGCTGCACGTTTTTAAATGTGGATTGTCTGTTATGATATTCAAATCATTTTATATAAGGCTGATGTTTTTACATAACTTCGCTTCTAATGGTTCTCGGGATAATTCAGGAGCATGTCAGTGCCTCTCAAGCCAATTAAGGATTTTTAATGGTTTTTATTTTTCAGAATTTCCTTGCATTCTGATGATAACTAGGTCTGTCAACCCTAATGAAGCTACAGTGATCGGAAAATTGTGATTCTGGGAAAATTATTTTACTGCTGTATTTATTCTTCCTAGGGATTTGTTCATTTATTCATATATTGATTGATTCATTTATCAGTTTAAACAGTCCTTTAGATAGATAGATAGATAGATAGATAGATAGATAGATAGATCAGAGCACAAATCTTGTTTGTATAGCAAAAAAGCTGTACAAACACACCAATATCCAGCAGAAAATACCCTGCGGTACCCTTAAGCTTTTCAAATCACGCTAACCAAATTGAAACCAACCAATTTCTGGTTCTTCACCGTAATATTCAAGGCTATTATCCTGAATGAGATTGCTGCCACCATTGCCACGGCAACAATTGCAAGTACTGAAAGAACTTCAGTGACTCTTATCATAGCCTTTGAAGTTGGACTCGAAGTGAGTTAGCGTTAGCATGCGCCTCACGTTTGCTTTCAAACGATGAGTTAACAATAAA